TCAAAGCAACCCAAAGAGAATCCACCAAAAGAAATACATCATTTAATATACAGTCCAAAATATAACAAATCTGATCCATGAAAGTAGATTAAAGCCCAGTTCTATAAACATTTTTCAGTTTTACAGCGAAGGGAGGGGGAAGGGCGGTTTATGGCATAGAATTTTCAAGATATCCCATGGCCAATAGTTTTAGGCTAATCATAACCAAATATCTTCCAGTTTTATAAAGAAAATTAATTACAACTTGATCACGTGACAAGCCATGCGTTGTTCTATTGAAAAATCCTATCAATCGAAATTTCTTCTGACAAAAGATCCAAACAACTGCTGGTTATAAATAGAGTTCTTGTAAAGATGTTCTGAATGATACGAGGTCATATAACGTCATTTTCCTGACGAAAGACCTAATGAGAGGAAACTAGCTCTAATCGGTCACAAACACATTATTGCATCTACAAATTGTGGCCCTTTGACTGACATTCCGAGCTGATTTCGTTCATTTTGGGGTCGATAATTTGATAAGGGAAAACTGGAGCTTTACATTTAGCAAGGGTTGTGACTAGACTGAACACCCGCCAAAACCTTGCCTGCGTGCAGACGTCTCCTATTTCCTTTGTTGCACGCGGAAAAGGGACGTCTGCGTAACGCCGTCGCTAATCGTGTTCCAGCATCCCGCTGGCAGGGTATTCTATTTCGCATAAATTGTGAAATAATATCCGGTTAGAAATAAGAGTTGACAGGCCAAACACAACATCATAAGCTCGTGATAAGGCGAAACGTGACCTTGAGAGTCTGTTTGAACAGAGGTTTTTATTCTCTTCTCTCTCGCGCGAAGGTTACTAGCACCACACATTGCATGTAGCATTCTCAACTTTGACTGAGTAAATCTAGTTTTTGCCGCACGTCCACGTCCACGTCGCTTTTGTAGTTTTCTCAGACACTGTGTGATGTTTCATGAACAGTAAATTGTAAAGAAATAATTTCCTCGTACACGTTAAATTTTCCGCGGCCTAGCACAAGATTTCTTCAAACGGTCTGCCCACAATGGCACATGTTTTGATTTGTTTTGGCTGGAAAACCCCGATTACTAGACTACGAGTAGTCCCCCATTTTTCCTCAGGGATAGTAGAGCGCTCGCTTTACTATCCCTGAGGAAAAATGGGGGACTACTCGTAGTCTACCGATTACATAAATCACCGCATACATTATCAGACCAGATTCGATAACAACCAATCAGCGTTATGTCAAACAATGCGCACTGTGTGTCAGCCTATCACAGCATGTTCCCAAGATCTTGGGAACCCAGCGGGACGCTGGAACACGATTAGCGACGGCGTTACGCAGACGTCCCTTTTCCGCGTGCAACAAAGGAAATAGGAGACGTCTGCACGCAGGCAAGCCAAAACCTACCTCCTTCAATGAAGGACGGGTCTGGAAACTAATTAGTTAGCGGAAACTGCTCTTCAAATGACCGAGGCCTTTTTTATGGCCATTGCGCGCTTACTTTAAATGTTTATTCAACAATCTGTTTTGAGAATTTTTGAGTAAGCAGTATTAATGAAGTTTTCGTGCAGTATCCTCAATTTATTCCTCGACTAACCTTATTAATCGTAAGAGAGATTAGTAGTGGTAGGTTATTATTATTATTATTATTATTATTATTATTATTATTATTATCGTTATTTATTTATATTTTTTTTTGGAGGAAATGAAGTCAATCACCTAAGATTCGAAACGTTCTCCAAAGGATTTTTTTCTTTGTTTGTCGACTTGGACCGCAGGCGACCCAGACGTAGTATTTGTCAAATTAATATATTAATATTCACATGGACAAAATAGGATGAATCGTCGAAACTTCCATGGACCAAAATAATCCAAAAGTCAAAATATAACGAAACAAAGCTGGCCGTTTAAAGTGGCATTTTGTTGAGTCTTGCAATCGTAGGTTCTATCCACTAAAGAAGAATTAAAGGCTGGATACAAAACAAACGGACCATCTCCACGCGCCTTCACGCGAAGCGCTATAGATTCGAGAATAATCGACGAATCCACTCCAAATTGCCATCGGCTAATCTGCAGCTAACGTGTGCTCATGCTTCTTGCTCGCTGGCTCCACAAAACCCATCGCAACTGCGCAATAATCGCTCCCTCATCAACAAACACTATGACCGCAAACTACCAGGTTTAATACGCGACGTGAATATTCAAGCTTAGCGACCACGTCCGCGCAACAATGCATCACTTGCTATGGCAGGGATGGTACTATTGCTTCTAGGTCAATCAACACTGAGCGAGGGTCCGCTGCGTTAGTTTTGACCACAAAACAAAAGGCGATCGCGCGACCGTCCGTAAGTTTTCAACAGCGCGGCCCTGGTTTTCAAGTTCGAATTCCTCTTTGACTAACGTTCGCTGTCACAGCTGCTGTCATATTGTTCGACCAGCCGCATGCATTGGTTCTTGACTCTACTGGACCTATTTGCTTGGATTAATTAAATAACCAGTTCTTTCCAAAACTACGTCTTACTCCACTCTGTCCAAACTGAAGAGGGAGGACGCGGATTTTCCGCCCAGGAAAAAGGAATAATCTGGCCTCGGCTATGCAGCTGAATAGAAGATACAGCTGAAGATATGGTAAAGTAAAATCTATGTGCGCAAAGAAGAAGGAGACGTTCAGTTAGAGGTATCTTAGCTTTGTTGTGTTATATTTTGACTTTTGGACTGCCGTAAAATTCCGAAAATACGCCCCTCCATGTATAAGCGCCTCCAAATATAAGCCCCCCAAACCGGTAACGCAGCAAACCCTCCGTTAAATCGCCCCTCCAAATATAAGCCCCACGGGGGCTTGTATTTGGAAAATTGCCCTCAAATATAGAGTAAAACAAAGCAAAGATGGTAGATTTATTCCCAGCTATAAGGCTGGCGCAATCGATTTTCAAACGCAAATTTCCCTCGATAGATAAGCCCCTCCGAATATAAGCCCCTCCAAAAATAAGCCCCTCAAAAAGGGCCTTTGAAAAATATAAGCCCCGGGGCTTATTTTCGGAATTTTACGGTATTTTAGTTCATGGGAGTTTCGACGACACATCCTATTTTGTCTATGTGAATATTAATATATTCATTTCACACATACTACGTCTGGGCTGCCTGTGCATATATTTAGTCTAGTACAGAGTTCTAATGCAAATCTGCAGTCTTAGGTAGTAGTAATTAGGTTTCAGATATTAGGTGGATAGTTAGAGGGTTTACGTGCGTTGAATACCATCAGAATGAAGCTACAATAATCAATGAATACAAATCCAGAGGTAGCCTACAATGACTTTTATTTTACTTCTTGTGGTTTGGTAAATTTAGGTCTTTGTCTTACACTCTATACTAAGTATCAGCTCCTTTCTAAATTATGTCACTGTTGTAGTAATACAAAAGTTTCATCTTTGTCAGGTTATTTTGGACAAGTCAACCATTTGGGTTATTCTGATAATCCAAGGATGCTTTCATCTTCTTCATATGCCTAACGATAGAACATTCGCAGTTCATTTAGTAAATTAGAAAAAAAAAAACACTTGGAAAAAAAAAACACTTTTTAATGTAGTATAGTAAAGATTAAGATAAATCTGAAAATCACGCTATATCGCTAATACTTTTTATTGTTCTTGTTGGCTACAAAATTTTGCATCAACACGTTTCTAGTAAATTAACAATGTATCTGCTGACCTCTTCCTAGTCAGATTTTTTATGTATATCAGTGCATTGGTAAGCCAGTGATGCAACAGAGGCGTAAAGATGAACATTTATTACACGTACGTTCAAAGCTTTGGCCCAGCAGACTCTAAAAAGTTAAGTAAACTTTATCAGAGTTAGTGTAAGGAAAAAAATTATCGTAATAATAATAATAATAATAATAATAATAATAATAATAATAATAATAATAAATAACCAAGTGAACAATGTAAAGACTTGGTTGAGTATGGGCGACTCGTCACAGGCGAGTTTGACTTTATTCCTCAGACGTCATGAACTAACCAAAGAGAACGTTTCAATCGAAAACGAAGAAAGTTATCAACCTAAAAGTAATTAGAAACCCTGTGTAACTGGTTAAACCAAATAAATATAGCACACGACCTTATCTAAATGAGATTTCTACGCATTTTATTCATGATATAAAGACAAAGGGTTATGACGTCATCGGCGCTAATCTATGCCACTCAAAAAGTTAATTAATTAAAAAAAGGATAATTCGGTGCTCATACCACTACTCACCAATCTTATTTTCGCAGTAAAGGCCATCGAATCCATCTTTGCATTCGCATTGGAATGCATTTATTCCATCTATGCACCTGAAGAAAAAAGAACGAAAATTAAGCAATGCTTCTGACGCTCCCCGACGGTCACTACACGTATACTGTACGTTACTACTTTATTATCAATGACATCACAATAACACGCTATCCTTAACGGAAAAAACTTAACCCAATGAAATATCAGATATAAAGGGAGGCAATATATCAAGTGAATAATCTGACAACCTGGCTCCGTTCAAGCAGGGATTTGAGTCACACTCCTCAACGTTGAATTCGCACTTTTTTCCAACAAAACCCTTCTGGCAAATGCAGTCAAACCAGTTGTCTTTAACAATGCAGGTTGCGTTGTTCTTACAACCTAATTTTGTACATTCGTCAGCTTCTTCCTCGCAATTGTTGCCGTAAAAACCGCTAGGACAAATGCAATCGTATGTNCAATCTTATTTTCGCAGTAAAGGCCATCGAATCCATCTTTGCATTCGCATTGGAATGCATTTATTCCATCTATGCACCTGAAGAAAAAAGAACGAAAATTAACCAATGCTTCTGACGCTCCCCGACGGTCACTACCCGTACACTGTACGTTACTACTTTATTATCAATGACATCACAATAACACGCTATCTTTAACGAAAAAAGTCAACCCTATGAAATATCAGATATAAAGGGAGGCAATATATCAAGTGAATAATCTGACAACCTGGCTCCGTTCAAGCAGGGATTTGAGTCACACTCCTCAACGTTGAATTCGCACTTTTTTCCAACAAAACCCTTCTGGCAAATGCAGTCAAACCAGTTGTCTTTAACAATGCAGGTTGCGTTGTTCTTACAACCTAATTTTGTACATTCGTCAGCTTCTTCCTCGCAATTGTTGCCGTAAAAACCGCTAGGACAAATGCAATCGTATGTTCCAGTTGAGTCCACACATGTCCCCTCATTCTGACAAGGGTCTGACGCACAGTCATCGATATTCTCCTCACAGTTCTTACCCTGGTAGCCTGTGAGATAATAAGAAGTGTTATCCATTGTTTCGATTAATGAAGGACTTAGCCTATAACCAGGCTCCGCAGTGAGGGAAAAAGACGAGCGAAGCGAGCTGAGCTTTTACCCTTCACCCTCCCAGACTTCCGCTCGGCTCACTTCGCTCACCGATTGTTTTGTTTTGTTTGTTTGTTTGTTTTGCCTTTTTACCCCACTGCGGAGCCTGGTCACAAGCTAAAACGACTCAGAGGAACGTATTCCAATTATAGAGATGGCGACCATCAGAATGCGGTCGAAACGTCGAGATAAATAGCAAATTTTAAGGTGACTAATGTGAGACAAACAATAAACAAGCCCTATCATGCATATACCAATGTCTTTTAATATAGCGTATACCTATTTTTACCTCTGAGTTTGATATACTTTTTTGGTAAAGAAATCTCAATCTTTGGTACTAGCCATCTTTTGTTATACATTTGCTTTCTGCTAAGCAAACACCTTAATAAACACACGCCTCTTTAAGAGAAAGAGCTGGTCCAGCAAGACGGAGTGAAAGGAAAACAAAACAAAACAAACCAAAGATATGGCCAAAGAAACTTTTTACTAACCTTGTGCGCAAGAGCACGAATAGTTATTTACCATGTCATGGCATGTGCCACCGTTAAAACAAGGTAGGTCTGAGCAGTCGTCAATGTTGGTCTCGCAATGTTTGCCAGTATATCCAGGTTATTTTTTTTTTTTTTTTTTTTTTTCAAAGTTGGCTTCGTCTTTTAATCGAAACAAAAGGAAATGTAAAAGTAGCATAGACTGATCTTGTTGATGACCCTTCATGTAAAGAAGATGACAAAACGACCTTTGCCACAAAAATTTAATCCACTGGGAAATGTTTTCCAAGAATCCAACCATAGTAGAACTGCTCCTTTACCGAGACCTCAAGAACTTATTTCCTTCTTGTAAGACCGAGAAAGTTTGTTTCTTGCCCTACGATTATTAATTACACACAGAATTAGATAAGGGAAAACGAACGAAACCGTTAACAACCATAAAACGACACAGTGAAACCATTTAGAAAAATGTAGGAGTTTTAATGTGAGCGTTCTATCCGACATACGCGAATAAGTTCATATCTGCGCATGTTGTTTTCACCGAGGTCATTCCAAAATCTATCGAAAATGGTACAGCAGATCGTTATATTATGGTCTTATGGGACACATTTCTAGAATAGCATGACAGCACTGAAACCTGAACTTCGCATTATGTTGCTTTCTTGGAAAAAACACTATTGGTACAGAGAATTTTCTAAAACTTGTTTTGAATGAGTTCCAGGACTTTCCGGAAATTACCCAAAAATCCCTAATATTGAGCACACGAGTTATTTTTTCTATTAAACGGTGAACTGCCACTGCGTGCAACCAATTTTGCAAGGGGGTGGGGGGGAGCGGGAAAGGGAGCTGTGCAGCCCTCACTGTTTGATTAAATGGCGTCATTGTGGTTCATTAGACATACATCATGCATATACGTTCAGTTAGGGAATATACATTCATCGCTAAAATATGAACTTAATGAACGATTTGGAGAACACCCCCGATCCATCTTAAACCATCATCAACTCAGCTATCCCACTCCTGACTCCCTGCATTTCAATCAACCTGGACATTCAATCAGTGACATGCGTCTAATTCCACTTGAACTCATACTCAGCAACCGTGACGCAGTGAGAAAGGCTATATGGAGGCTCATTTAATACATAAAAGGAAAACATTGTCTCCTCTAAAAAGACGGAATAAATAGACGTGACCAAGCTCGTTGATATACGATACTACCTAGTCACCCACACCACATATCAATCTTTTATATTTTCAACCCTTATTTGTAACGCATTTTAAGTTTTATCTTAATTTTTCTTTTGGCGCCTGAAGAAGTCTTTCAAACCGAAGTATTGGGCAAATTTTGTTTAAATACTAGTTGAATAATCATTTCAAGAATGTTTCCTCACAAACTGCTCATCTGGGCATGATTTTTTTATGTTTTCCTTCTTCCCAAGATCAATACAAGAACGGAACAGGTTGCCAAGACAAGTTGCAATGTATAAATGACCTAAATGTTGTAAGGATGCTATTACTAAGATTTCATTGTTCTCATTCTGCATATATGTTTGTTATTGTACTTTTAACGATAATACTTTTTTTAGCGCAGTCCTTTACATTCAGTATTAAATTTTGCACTTACTTGGTGAATAAATACATAAATTAAATAATAAATTAATATATTTTTTGTTTTATTCTTTTGTTCATTTGTGAGGGTCTAAACGAAACATTGAATATTAAAAGGAAAATGACGCGACCTTTGCTGCAGCCAAGTACAAGGCAGTGATCACATACACACATAGAAGATTCCGAGAAATGTTATCTAAAAAGGAAAAATTAAATCTTTCTTGCAGGACCGAGAAAAAATATTTTTCCTGACATTGAATCATTATCGGTTATACAACAAAACTATAGAGGAGTGAAAAATAAATAAATAAATAATTAAATACAATTAAATAAAGGAACCGAAGTACGTATATACTATCATCTCCACGCATAGCGGCATCGGTTGAGAAATGTTTTGTAATTTCCCTTGTAGATCGAGATGCATTAGTTCACAGTGACCATTTTATTTATTTTTTATTTTTTTTTTGTGTTGGTGGCGTGGAGAATGTCACGAAACTAAGGCCATGTTAAGTGGTGTCTTCTTAGAATGCTTAAATGAACGCCGTTTACCTTTCAGGCAAAACATTTACTTAAACGAGTACTCACCGTAACATATAACCGTAATATACACCAAATATTACTGTTTATCGCTGTAGGGTGAGGGTGAGGGTGAGGGTGGGATTGTCCCTGTACAGAAATTTGACTGGTTGAGACTAAGGGTCATTTTTAGTGACAGCTGAGTTACGAATACACACTTTTGTTTACTTCCGTTTTTCCCATTTTTTCTTTGAGAAACGTTTGGGTTTTTTAGGACAAGAGCGGAGACTTTTTCGGAAAGTGGTAAGCTACCTATGCACGAGGACACTGTTTGGGTGACATGTTCATCAGAGCTTAGAGTGCTGTCCACCTGCAGGCCAAGGTCCCGAGCAGAAGGAGATGGAGTGACCTTCTTTCCAAGGAGAGTGACATGAAAATCAGTGGGCAGCCTCTGAAGCATCTGACGTGTGCCCAGCACCAGCAGCTTGGTTTTCTCTGGGTTTATGAGAAGGCTGTTGTAGCAGCACTAGCTTGCGATTTTTTCTAAGTCCTTATTGATCTATTGAATCATATTACTAGCCTCAGCAACTGGGAACGGAAGGTATAGCTTTGAATCATCGACATATGATTCTAGCGAACACACGTCCGGTATAGAAGGAATGTTGTTGAGGTAGATAGTAAACAAGGCGGGCCCCAAGATTGAACCCTGTGGGACTCCATGTGCGATACCCTGCAAGCTTGAGGTCTCAGCTTCCATCCTGACACATTGCAGCCGTTCAGAAAGGTAGCTCTTGAACCAATCCAGAGATGCACGGGAAACACTTAGCGCCTGTAGTTTTGCAAGGAGGGTTACATGATCTATGCTGTCGAATGCTTTCGACAAGTCCAAAAGTACCACAAGTGTGACTTTCTTTGCATCCATAGCCTCCAGTGCTTTGTCCGTGATCATGACGTTAAGGGTTTCACACGAATGAAGCTTCTTGTTATCACTTTGGTGTTCTTTGAGGCGCTTTTTGGCGGTCATGTCATTAATTGATTCAGAGCAACACGCTCACATAATACTATACAATTATATAGTAACAATAAGAGGTATAAGAAAATTTTTCGGTTTCGTACACCTTCCATAGCATCAGGAGCATCTAAGATGTTCGGGAAATAATTAGAAATGCCCCATATGCTCGAAATGGCTAAAGTTACTCCGCTAGGATGACTAAACATATCATATATTTTATATTTACTTTACAGCGCCGCTCAGAATACATTTGTAGAGCTTTTAAAAGCACCGAACATAGCCTGGAACAAGTGTTTAGGTGGCATTTCGGGAGAAGGCCGTAGCTTGGTACCCCTGTTGTTTCCTTCATATTACGATCTTAAACAAGAAAATCTTCCAACGCACTGCGGAAATCAGGAGAGCTGCATTGTGGAAGAGAATTTAAGACTAATTAAATCATATTTACTATATACACACACAGTCACCTTACTTGTATAATTTCAATGCGTTGAGTTGACTTTCTAGGTTCTTACGAATGACTCTTCAATTTGATTCAGTATTGCCATGCCAAGCTCAGTTTATTAAAAGGGGACGGAACATGGTAGAAATTAGTTGCACATTTCATTTTCAAAATGACATCTTTTCAAGACATTGTCGCTATTACTACAAAAAAATGAACGACAGGTAGGTAAAGGAAATAGGAATGGGGTGGGGGGTAACTGAGGCCTAGATTTGCGCTTGGTAATGATTAGGATAATATCCTTATTGTTTTGAGAGCTGTTGTCCTCGATCGTCTCCGAACCAGAGACGATTATGAATACAGATGTACTATGTTCACTGGTGTTCAGGAAGCTACTATGCTTGTAATCACCAGGTTCGCGATGTTAAGTGTCAAGTAATGTATAGCTATCAGTAACTAGCATAAAAATATTTAGAACCCCAATTTTTTTCTTACAAAGTAGGACTTCACGTGTTTCGAACAAAAAGCTAATAACAGAGGCAATAATCAACTTTAAGATAACTCAGTTGACTTATGTTGTTCTACCAAGAACACAGAGAACAAACTCGATTTACCATGTAACATTGCTGATAAGTTCAGTGTCTAGCATAAACCTTTCCGTACAGCCGAAATTCTACTAAGTTACCCGGACTTCCCAACAGTAAGCTTCAGAGCGGTACAACTGAGAGACCCCTTTGCAAAGCTATAACTGATCGTTTATTTTGTTTTTTGCTGAGCTTGTCGATCAACCACAGACTTCATAAGTCATTTCTAATGCTATAGGGTCAACGGAACTTTCAAGAGCGGATATAGAATAAATACTGACCGATTTCCTTCTATAGGGAGGTCTGGGGGCATGCTTCCACGGAAAAAAAGTTGGATTTTAGCATCCCGAAGTTTCCTTTCCTAAGTTTCTGAGTCATTCAGACAGGGTATTTACTGACTGTCCAAACCATTTTCCAGATTTCAACTTGGAAAGTTTAAAGTCTTTTACTAAAAATATATTCATTATGAAAAATCTGACTGATTTCCGTATACTAGTGGAAACAGGTGGGGATCCACAACTGGCTTTACTAGTTATTCTCGACTTAATGAGGTTTTGCATTCATCTCACGCTTTTTATATGCTGCATCATAGAATTGATGCTTATTTTAGTTTTTCGCCCGAATATCAACACTAGTGTTGTGGTCCAGTTTTTATTTTCCTTTGTTTCAAACTCATTATCATTCACTTCCGTACCCAAAAACAAAGGCAAATAAAAATTGAACCGAGCATAAAATTGAACCACAACACTAGCATGTAAAAACCATCAGTCAAGGAATTTCTTTGATCAAGTAAATGTACTTACCGTAAGTCGTGCTCTTAACAGGGGCCAAAATCTTCCCAACAACAAATACGCAAATTGCATTAATTTCTTTTACTGCAGATCTCTAGCAATACCAGAGAACCAAATAATCTCCACAAGCTATTTTCCGTTAGCTTCCTACGCCGCCCTTTTTTTGTACTGTGTCGTCACTCAACGCTCCTTCCCACAAACGGCTGCTGAAAACCGAGCCACATTCCTTTCCGTACATTCAGCAAATCCGACGTCTGCTTCCATGATGGGCGCAAAGTTAACGGTTCGTTGGCTCCTCCAATCACAGCCTTGCTTTTATGGGTGTCCCACGTGGGACTGACAAGAAGAAAATCAAGAAACAACATTGGCGCTAGAAGACACACTCGATCTAGCGTCGTGTTTACAGTCTTCAAAATTTCTGTGGTGATACATGTAATAAATGATCATCAGAAGCCAGCAATTCGATTATCAGATTTGCTCGTGTTTGAATTAATATCCTACAGAGCTCATATCAATCAAAGCAATGCAAAGAGAATCCACCAAAAGAAATACAGTCCAAAACATAACGAACCTGATCCATGAAAGTAGATTAAAGCCCAGTTCTTTAAACCCTTTTCAGTTTTTAAAGCGGAAGAAGAGGGAGGGGCGGTTTACGAAGTATTTTCAAAAGATATCTCATGGCCAATAGTTTTAGGCTAATCATAACCAAATATCTTTCAGTTTTATTAAGAAAATTAATTACAACTTGATCACGTGACAAGCCATGCGTTGTTCTATTGAAAAATCCTATCAATCGAAATTTCTTCTGTCAAAAGATCCAAACAACTGCTGCTTATAAATAGAGTTCTTGTAAAGATGTTCTGAATGATACGAGGTCATATAACGTCATTTTCCTGACGAAAAACCTAATTAGAGGAAAACTGGCTCTAATCGGTCACAAATACCAATTGCATCTACAAATTGTGGCCCTTTGCCTGACATTCCGAGCTGATTTCGTTGGCACTTTTGGGGGTCGATAATATGATAAGGGAAAACTGGAGCTTTACATTTAGCATGCAAGGGTTGTGACTAAACTGAACACCCGCCAAAACCTACCTCCTTCAGTGAAGGACGGGTCTGGAAACTAAGTTAGCGGAAACTGCTCTTCAAATGACCGAGTCCTTTTTTATGGCCATTGCGCTTACTTTAAATGTTTATTCAACAATCTGTTTTGAGAATTTTTGAGTAAGCAGTATTAATAAAATTTCCGTGCAGTATCCTCAAATTATTCCTCGACTTATGCTATTAATCTTAAGAGAGACTGGTAGTGGTAGGTTATTGTTATTATTATTATTATTATTATTATTATTATTATTATTATTATTATTATTATTATTATTATTATTATTTATTTATTTATTTAGATTTTTTTGGAGGAAATGAAGTCAATCACCTAAGGTTCGAAACGTTCTCCAAAGGATTTTTTTCTTTGTTTGTCGACTTGGACCACAGGCGACCCAGACGTAGTATGTGTCAAATGCATATATTAATATTCACGTGGACAAAATAGGATGAATCGTCGAAACTCCCATGAACTAAAATAGTCCAAAAGTCAAAATATAACAAAACAAAGCTAAGATACCTTTAACTGAACGTCTCCTTCTTCTTCCTGGCCGGTTAAAGAGGCATTTTGTTGAGTCTTGCAATCGTAGGTACTATCCACTAAAGAAGAATTAAAGGCTGGATACAAAACAAACGGACCATCTCCACCCGCCTTCACGCGAAGCGCTATAAATTCGAGAATAATCGACGAATCCGCTCCAAATTGCCATCGGCTAATCTGCAGTTAGCGTGTGCTCATGCTTCTTGCTCGCTGGCTGCACAAAACCCATCGAAACTGCGCAATAATCGCTCGCTCATCAACAAACACTATGACCGCAAACTACCTGATTTAATACGCGACGTGAATATTCAAGCTTAGCGACCACGTCCGCGCAACAATGCAACACTTGCTATGGGAGGGATGGTACTATTGCTTCTAGGTCAATCAACACTGAGCGATGGTCCGCTGCGTTAGTTTTGACCACAAAACAAAAGGCGATCGCGCGACCATCCGTAAGTTTTCAACAGCGCGGCCCTGGTTTTCAAGTTCGAATTCCTCTTTGACTAACGTTCGCTGTCACAGCTGCTGTCATATTGTTCGACCGGCCGCTTGCATTGGTTCTTGACTCTACTGGACCTATTTGCTTGGATTAATAAAATAACCAGTTCTTTCCAGAACTACGTCTTACTCCACTCTGTCCAAACTGGTGAGGGAGGACGCGGATTTTACGCCCAGGAAAAAGGAATAATCTGGCCTCGGCTATGCAGCTGAATAGAAGATACAGCTGAAGATATGGTAAAGTAAAATCTATGTGCGCGAAGAAGAAGGAGACGTTCAGTTAAAGATATCTTAGCTTTGTTTTGTTATATTTTGACTTTTGGACTACCGTAAAATTTCGAAAATACGCCCCTCCGTGTATAAGCCCCTCCAAATGTAAGCCAAACCGGTAACGCAGAAAACCCTCCGTTAAATCGCCCCTCCAAATATAAGCGCCCCGGGGGCCCGATTTGGAAAATTGCCCTCAAATATAGAGTAAAACAAAGCCCAGATGTTAGATTTATTCCCAGCTATAAGGCTAGTCCAATCGATTTTCAAACGCAAATTTCCCTCCATAGATAAGCCCCTCCAAAAATAAATATGCATATATTTAGTCTAGTACAGAGTTCTAATGCAAATCTGCAGTATTAGGTAGTAGTAATTAGGTTTTAGATATTAGGCGGATAGTTAAAGGGTTTACGTGTGTTGAATACCATCAGAATGAAGCTACAATGAACAATGAATACAAATCCAGAGGTAGCCTACAGTGACTTTTATTTTACTTCTTGTGGTTTGGTAAATTTAGGTCTTTGTCTTACACTCTGTACTAAGTATCAGCTCCTTTCTAAATTATGTCACTGTTGTAGTAATACAAAAGTTTCATCTTTGTCAGGTTATTTTGGACAAGTCAACCATTTGGGTTATTCTTTCATCTTCTTCACACGCCTAACGATAGAACATTCGCAGGTAATTTAGTAAACTAGAAAAAAAAAACCCTTGGAAAAAAAAACACTTTTTAATGTACTATAGTGAAGATTAAGATATATCTGAAAATCACGCTATATTACTAATACTTTTTATTGTTCTTGTTGGCTACAAAATTTTGTATCAACACGTTTCTAGTAAATTAACAATGTATCTGCTGACATCTTCCTAGTCAGATTTTTTATGTATATCAGTGCATTGGTAAGCTAGTTATGCAACAGAGGCGAAAAGATGAACATTTATTACATGTATCTTCAAAGCTTTTGATCCAGCAGACGCTAGAAAGTTAAGTAAACTTTATCAAGGAAAAGGAAAAAAAATTATCGTAATAATAATAATAATAATAATAAATAACCAACTGAGCAATTTAAAGACTTGGTTGAGTATGGGCTCGATGTATGGTCAACAAGGTCGATTTGGTGTTGGGAAAGTAAAAAAAAATAAAATAAAATAACAATAATAATAATAATAATAATAATAATAATAATAATAATAAACACTTAGTTTGCCTTCGCCCTCATAAAAATGCACGATTTGAGGCCAAGACAGGACAATGAACTAGGAAAATGACAGCAGCTAAAAATAGAACTTGCATAATTACGTTACGGCTCAGTGATTTGAATTCACAGGCGAGTTTGACTTTATTCCTTAGATGCCATGAATTAACCAAATAGAATGTTTCAATCAAAAACGAAGAAAGTTATCAACCTAAAAGTAATTAGAAACCCTGTGTAACTGGTTAAACCAAATAAAAATAGCACACGACCTTATCTAAATGAGATTTCTGCACATTTTATTCATGATATAAAGACAAAGGGTTATGTCGTCATCGGCGTTAATATATGCCACCCAAAAAGTTTATTAATTAAAAAAAACAGGTTAATTCGGTGCTCATACCACTACTCATCAATCTTATTTTCGCAGTAAAGGCCATCGAATCCATCTTTGCATTCGCATTGGAATGCATTTATTCCATCTATGCACCTGAAGAAAAAAGAACGAAAATTAACCAATGCTTCTGACGCTCCCCGACGGTCACTACCCGTACACTGTACGTTACTACTTTATTATCAATGACATCACAATAACACGCTATCTTTAACGAAAAAAGTCAACCCTATGAAATATCAGATATAAAGGGAGGCAATATATCAAGTGAATAATCTGACAACCTGGCTCCGTTCAAGCAGGGATTTGAGTCACACTCCTCAACGTTGAATTCGCACTTCTTTCCAACAAAACCCTTCTGGCAAATGCAGTCAAACCAGTTGTCTTTAACAACGCAGGTTGCGTTGTTCTTACAACCTAATTTTGTACATTCGTCAGCTTCTTCCTCGCAATTGTTGCCGTAAAAACCGCTAGGACAAATGCAGTCGTATGTTCCAGTTGAGTCCACACATGTCCCCTCATTCTGACAAGGGTCTGATGCACAGTCATCGATATTCTCCTCACAGTTCTTACCCTGGTAGCCTGTGAGATAATAAGAAGTGTTATCCATTGTTTCGTTTAATGAAGGACTTAGCCTATAACCAGGCTCCGCAGTGAGGGGAAAAGACGAGCGAAGCGAACTGAGCTTTTTCCCTTCCCCCTCCCAGTCTTCCGGTCGGCTCACTTCGCTCACCGATTGTTTTGTTTTGTTTGTTTATTTGTTTGTTTTGACTTTTTACCCCACTGCGGAGCCTGGTCCCAGGCTATAACGACTCAGAGGAACGTATTCCAGTTATAGAGATGGCGACCATCAGAATGCGGTTGAAACGTCGAGATAAATAGCAAATTTTAAGGTGACTAATGTGAGACAAACAATAAACAAGCCCTATCATGCACATACCAATGTCTTTTAATGTAACGTATACCTATTTTTACCTCTGAGTTTGATATGCTTTTCTGGTAAAGAAATCTCAATCTTTGGTACTAACCATCTTTTGTTATACATTTGCTTTCTGCTAAGCAGNATGAAATATCAGATATAAAGGGAGGCAATATATCAAGTGAATAATCTGACAACCTGGCTCCGTTCAAGCAGGGATTTGAGTCACACTCCTCAACGTTGAATTCGCACTTCTTTCCAACAAAACCCTTCTGGCAAATGCAGTCAAACCAGTTGTCTTTAACAACGCAGGTTGCGTTGTTCTTACATCCTAATTTTGTACATTCGTCAGCTTCTTCCTCGCAATTGTTGCCGTAAAAACCGCTAGGACAAATGCAGTCGTATGTTCCAGTTGAGTCCACACATGTCCCCTCATTCTGACAAGGGTCTGATGCACAGTCATCGATATTCTCCTCACAGTTCTTACCCTGGTAGCCTGTGAGATAATAAGAAGTGTTATCCATTGTTTCGTTTAATGAAGGACTTAGCCTATAACCAGGCTCCGCAGTGAGGGGAAAAGACGAGCGAAGCGAACTGAGCTTTTTCCCTTCCCCCTCCCAGTCTTCCGGTCGGCTCACTTCGCTCACCGATTGTTTTGTTTTGTTTGTTTATTTGTTTGTTTTGACTTTTTACCCCACTGCGGAGCCTGGTCCCAGGCTATAACGACTCAGAGGAACGTATTCCAGTTATAGAGATGGCGACCATCAGAATGCGGTTGAAACGTCGAGATAAATAGCAAATTTTAAGGTGACTAATGTGAGACAAACAATAAACAAGCCCTATCATGCACATACCAATGTCTTTTAATGTAACGTATACCTATTTTTACCTCTGAGTTTGATATGCTTTTCTGGTAAAGAAATCTCAATCTTTGGTACTAACCATCTTTTGTTATACATTTGCTTTCTGCTAAGCAGACACCTTAGTAAACACACGCCTCTTAAAGAGAAAGAGCTGGTCCAGCAAGACTGAGTGAAAGGAAAACAAAACAAAACAAAACAAAGATATGGCCAAAGAAACTTTTTTACTAACCTTGTGCGCAAGAGCACGAATAGTTATTTACCATGTCATGGCATGTGCCACCGTTAAAACAAGGTAGGTCTGAGCAGTCGTCAATGTTGGTCTCGCAATGTTTGCCAGTATATCCAGGTTGACAGGTGCACAAGAAGTCATCAATGAGATCTGTACACGTTAAATTGCCCTTACATGGGCTGGAACCGCAGTTGTCGATTTCTGAAGCGAAAAAAAATTATTGAGTTTAAATCCTAAATTATTTATTCTTGATCAAAAACGATTTCTTAAAACATAAGCAAGCGAATATTAACGTTAAAAGCCGACGTTTCGGTATCATCATGACACCATTCTCAAGGCAAAATGAACAAATAATGCGAATAATTGATTTCTATAGTCTCCACAAATTAACATAATAACAAAGGATCAAAAGTTCTTCAAGTGAATACCTTTGCGCGAATCGAGTCCGCCTGAGATGCTCTTTATAAGAAAACTCAAACCATCCCTAAACGTGCAGGCGGACTCGATTTGACAATTTTATACGTAGAAGACCGTCAGACCACAACAAGATAACATTTGCCATAAAATATCTTCCCATGTCACATCTACGGTAATGACGTCATCAGTCACGTGACTATTTCCGAATTAGGTTCTTTTTTGTTGCTGTGACTAGATTCTATTTACTAGTTAAAAACAAATAGCATTTTTAAAAATGACCAGTTGACGTTCGCCATTTAATCATGAACATGAGTGAACATGAGTGAAAAATTCGGGAGACTAGGCCCAGGACTGTAGAGAGTCAACCTTTTATCACACGGCAAAGAAAATTTGCGGGAAAGTAATGTCCGACCAGATATTTTTTTTTCATGACCAAAAGAGGGACACTACGTCATCAGTCACGTGCTCAAAACGTAATCTTTGAGTTCGTTTTTAAAGTACCTTTTTTTACCATGTAACTTCCGTTTATTTTTTTACAGTTGTACATATTCCGTATATTCGTGTTTTTCCCTAAAAAAACTGATGAAGACTGGTAATGGTCAGTCGAAATATTGTATACCTCGACCTTTTTCACGTTGTTTGATTAGTCTTTGCAGTAGTCTTTTTGACTTTAATTCGATTTTCATCTTTTTCGATTGATCACGATCTTGTTTGATCCATCGTTGAGCTAAATTGATCGTTCAAGGTTTCTGCAGTGGTTTTTCAAGCCTTGGTTCACAATATTTTATGTATATATCTCTTGGGTATCCGCAATTGACGTCATTTAGTGTGACGTCAAGATGCACTTTAGGGTTACCAGGTAACACGAATTCAAGGGCGAATGATATGTTTTATTCAAACAGTGTTTACTATCGGTGAATCACGCGATCAATTGCTCACGAAACTGAAAGAGAACGGCAAGTATAAAAACGTTGCATTCAGCAAGTGGCTGGAAATCCTCGCCGGGGAAGTTTTACCACCGAAAGTCCACAGCAGCGAGAACGGCGACTAGAAATCTAGCCCGACCAAAGAAGAAGAATACGAGTGCGTACATCGATCGGCCGTTAAACGCGAGAATAAATAAATATGGAAATAAAGCGAAACGGCGTTGAAATAGTCGTTTAAACTAATTTTCCTCAAATGCATTTTTTTAAATTCATGATAAACATAGCTCAACTAGCTTCAAACAGCTAGTATGGCAAAGAAAAATGCCTCAAATGTATTAATTTTACACTTTTAGATGACCACACTTGTAAAAAAAATGTAAATTTAAAGACCTTGCTGGTCTACTGGAAGGCACTGACGCTGAAAATGTTCTTTCCTCCTGTGTGAAGGCGTTAAGGCCACCAGATTGCTTTATAATGTTACGAATTAAGCTTCGTTTTGGCCTAGGAAGTGCCTAGTAAGTGTAAGTTTATTCCTTCATATTACCAATTAAGTTCTTACTCATTTCCTTTTATATGATAACAAGTCGCCTAGATAAAAGTGACTTCCTGCGTACTTAATAAGTGGATACGTTTAATCATTAGCGTCACTTTTAACGATAATCTTCGACATATTGTCCACCATCCCCCGAATAACGTCACATGACAGAAGCTATGCACACAAATATTTCTTCAGTTGAAGCCGTTTTGCAGGCTAGATACACTTCCTTAAACTCTGCACAAAATTAAAAACGTGAATGACGTGTGGTCTGGTAATATCTTTCAGAGGTGATGTGATATAGTAAATACACTACCCCCACCCCCCTCCCCCCTTAAAACATACCCCTAAGAAGCACCTTCATCGTTTTAATCGTCTAAAATAAGATCGTTGATTGTTGATCTCCACAAACCGTTTGCGATCTTTTACATAAGAACGGAAGCAGTCGAAAATTTTGCAACAAATCCCGAAGCGTGTTAATCACGAGATTGCCAGATATCGTGATCTACGGTGTCAAGGGCATCTGTCAAATCAAGGAGGACAGGCACAACCGACTTTTCCTTTAATTGTGCAGATGTTATAGGGACTTGAATGAGTGCTGTTTCTTAATATAATATCCCATCCCCTATCAGCTGAGCTAGTGAAATGTTCAAAAAGATTATTACTTTCTTTAAGCGAACAAATTGATCGAACTTTTTGACAGGAGGCTTAAGTTTAAGATTGGGCAAAGCTTCTTGTAGACCTGATGATTTTAATGAACCGAAAAATACTCAAACAAGTGTTATAACAATCATGTATAACAAAGCAACATAGAAAGCGGATTAAACTGCCGCACGGTAGAATAAGTACATTTTAGGTAAGCCTTTTCAGCTAACCTTGACAATCCTGCCTCCTCTTCGATCCAAACTGTGTTGTCACAGTTGTTCCTGGGCATGGGACACACGTGCGACTCTCACTTTGGGGCTGAAAAGAGCGCCTGTCNATATCGTGATCTACGGTGTCAAGGGCATCTGTCAAATCAAGGAGGACAGGCACAACCGACTTTTCCTTTAATTGTGCAGATGTTATAGGGACTTGAATGAGTGCTGTTTCTTAATATAATATCCCATCCCCTATCAGCTGAGCTAGTGAAATGTTCAAAAAGATTATTACTTTCTTTAAGCGAACAAATTGACCGAACTTTTTGACAGGAGGCTTAAGTTTAAGATTGGGCAAAGCTTCTTGTAGACCTGATGATTTTAATGAACCGAAAAATACTCAAACAAGTGTTATAACAATCATGTATAACAAAGCAACATAGAAAGCGGATTAAACTGCCGCACGGTAGAATAAGTACATTTTAGGTAAGCCTTTTCAGCTAACCTTGACAATCCTGCCTCCTCTTCGATCCAAACTGTGTTGTCACAGTTGTTCCTGGGCATGGGACACACGTGCGACTCTCACTTTGGGGCTGAAAAGAGCGCCTGTCGCACACTGAACATGGAACCAGACCATTTGGAGAGAACCAACCAGGAGGACAGGGGACTTTAGTGGAAGAAAAAAAAAGAAAAGAAAAGAAAAGAAAAACAGTATTTTCAACACTTCATAACTCTCTTTTTCAGTAGTCTTCTGTTGATGGAAAGAGGAATCAGTTCATTCGATTTCCCGAGATATCCAATATTCCCTAATTTGGTGATGCAAACAGAAACAGTTGGAAACAATTGGCTTAACAGCAAGACACAGTTGGCACAATTGGTTAGTGCGCGGCCTTCGGTGCGCCAGGTCCCGACTGAGTTCGATCCCCAGTGACACCACATCCTTGTTTCAGCTCCTCTCCTTTCTGTGTAGCCTTGACTAGTTTAAAATACCCTTAAAACGGAGGATTGATGGAAGGAGGGGGGTAAAAGGAGGGCACTGTCGACCTCAAGTTTATCAGTTATTATTACTGCCACGAGTTATCGACGTAAAATATGGTCGCTTTACCTTTTTTTACCTTTTTACAACCTTTAGTAGATTTATAGCAAAAACAGCAGTCTGATCACCTTGTATTTTCGGAATGCTGCTATAGCTTTTAAAAAAAGCTGGCAGTTTCATTGTCAGAGGTCATCTGAACTCGAAGTAACTGATGACATCTGGACTGTTGTTGAAGAGTATATTGCTGCTGTAACAAATTTATTCCAAACTTCTTTTAATTTGTTTTACTGTCTTATTGTTGCTGTTGTTGAAAAGTAAATATACCTCCGCACTGCTTAGAACTGGTGGATCCCTCTTCAGCAGTTGTTGTATCTACACTGCAATTTAAACAAATACGCTGCCCCTCCATCTCTTGATAGAAGCCCTTTTCACACGGGAAACAAGGCTCCAGTCCGGTTGGTGAATAAGAACCAGCTTTGCAAACAGCTGTCAAAAGGAAAAGAAAAAATGAAGTATTAGTCAGGCAAGTACTGAGCATGCAGCAGCACTAGTAGTAAAGTGCTAGGAGTTACCATAACCAACACGCTCCAAAGGAATTGTCACGTCTTAGATGTAATAAAAAAGGCCAACAAGAGAATATACTTTCTTATATTACTTAAGCGTGCAAGTGTTCCAGCACACGATATCATTTGTTTCTATCGTACTTGTATAAGGCCAGTTCTAGAATATTGTGCCCCCCTGTACCATCACGCACTTCCTGACTACTTAAGTAAGGATATTGAACGCATTCAAAAACGTGCACTATTAATTATTTCGCCAGGCCTTTTTTACGATGACAGCCTGTCAATGTTCAACATGGCATCTTTAGAGGACAGACGCATAGATCATTGTGAAAAACTGTTTGATTCTATTGTATCTAATCCAGATCATAAGTTACATCATTTTCTCCTCCCCAAGAACTATTGTCATTATAACCTCAGAAGACAACGCCACTTTGCAAATCCAGTCATGCGCACCAAGCGTTTTTCTAGCACATTTCTGCCATCTATGTGCAGGCGTTAGCAGTTTTTGTATAAAGTTTAATTCATCTAAAGTATAATTTTTATAAATTAGAATTCTAAAGTATAATTTTGTAGATTTTTTTTTTTAATTAGTACATTTTCATATTTTATACATGTTTTGTATCAATTGCATTTGTAAATTCATGCAATTTAGCCTTGGAGTGCTGCCATATGATTTGAATTAAAGCTATCTATCTATCCCCTCTATCTATCTATCTGTATATGTAGTGAATGTATGTATTGAATTTAACTCAAAGAAAATAGAAGAGGCACACGAAAGAGTTCACGTCACCAGGACATCTTTGTTGAAAATGTGAAAGGGTGATTGATTGAATATTCCTGCACAATTTAGGGAGCACATTTTCAAGGGTTACTGTGGGAATTAACTCGTCATAAATTATCCTTAGCTAAGTGTAAACTGCAACTGTTAAAATCAAGCCCATTGGAAAAGAATATTGATTTTAAAGTTTTGGTGCTAAATTAAAAAATAATGATAATTTAGCACTAAAAAGAGTATAATTGCTCTAAAAATAATCATTTGTTCTTTCATCGATTACCTTACCTTTGGATTTAATAAATTTATTTTACATTTTCCCCATTTACCCTTGACATGTCCTCAGCTTTAGCTAGAGCGTATAAAGAGCTTTAATGACCCGTTATAACAAAATTGCACAGTGATGTAAGTATGCTTTTAGATAGGGTTTACCACCTGTTAGGGTCCTCCTAGACCACACCCTATGTTGAAAGAACCATGGAGAATATTATTGGCAATAAGATCTCGTCTAGATTAATTACTCTCCGTCTTAACGCGCGAGGTTCTTCCCAAATCTAC